CAGGTATATACAAAAGTATGAAGGCTATTGCTTAACGCATTGTAAGCCGCCCTGAGTCTCCGGAGAAGGGCGGCCTATAAATCGAACCAATCAATCAATCAATCAATCAATCAATCAATCAATCAATAAATAAATAAATAAATAAATAAATAAATAGGTTACTCCATGATGATCCCTCCCCCTCGGTACAAGAGCCAATCAGGTGTAGTGGTAAAGATGACTGGCCTTCAAAGAACACAGTGGCTGGACACCATCAAAGCTGACACTGATAAAGACAATGTGTTTGGAAATAAAGGAAATGATTATAAATTTGCATGGAAAATCGAAATCTGAGGAGGTCAAGCTGACACCAGCCAGAGCATAGAAAAACTCAAAGAAGTAGTGCAAGATCAGAAGATGTGGAGAGACCTGGTCCCATTGAATTGCCGAGGGTCGGACATGACTGAATGGATAACAACACCATCATCAAAGTGGATGGACTCAGTTAAAGGGGTGATGGGGTCACTGTTGGAAGACTTGAAGAATCTGGTTAGGGACAAATCTCCATGGAGAAGTTCTAGCCATGTTGTTGCTAAGAGTTGACCATAACTCTGAAGGCAGGACCAGAAGCAATGGATGGAAACTAATCCAGGAGAGAAGCAACCTAGAACTAAGCAGAAATTTCCTGACAGTTAGAACAAGTAATCAACTTGCCTCCAGAAGTTGTGGGAGCTCCATCACTGGAAGTTTCTCAGAAGACATTGGACAACTGTCTGAAATGGTACAGGGTCTCCTATTTGAGCAGGAGGTTGGACTGGAAAATGCCCAAAATCTCCTCCAACTCTGTTATTTGGCAACTTGATGGCACATAATTAATCAATAGGAAGACCCAGCTCCCTTGAGAAAAATATAGGAGCCCTGGTGATTCAGTGGTTAGAATGCCCACTGCCAGGAGTTCGATCCTGACCTGCTCAAGCTTGACTCAGCCTTCCATCTTTCTGAGATTGGTAAAATGAGGACCTAGATTGTTGGGGACCAGATGCTAACTCTGTAAACCACTTAGAGGGGGCCATGAAGCACTATGAAGGGGATAGATAAGTCTTAAGTTTTACTGTTATTGCTATTGCTAGAATGTTGGAAAGGAAAGAGAAGAAAAGGACAACCAGCAGCAAGATTGATGGACTCAGTTGCAGGTGTGATGGGTGCAACTTGGGAAGACCTGAAGGACCTAGTTAGGGAGATGGAGAAGTTCTTCCCACACAGTTTCTAAGAGTCAACCCCGTTGTGATGGCACCACATCATCAATCAATTAATCAGCCAACTCCAACGTGGTGGCACATCATCAATCAATTAATCGGTCAAGCCCAACATGACACATAATCAATCAATTAATCAATCAGCCAGTCAATCAATATAAAGACCCAGCTCCCCTCAGAAGCCAGCAATGTTGGGAGAGATGGAAGGAAGGAAGGTGAAGAAGACAATCAATAGCAAAATGCATGGACTCGGTTTCAGGGCTGATGGGATCACCATTCAAAGACTTGTAGGACCAGGGTCAGGACAGAGAAAACTTAACTATGCGGTTGCCAAGAGTTGACCTTGCTTGACATTATGTTGGGAAAATAGGCCTTCAATTCAGGGGTGAAATCCAGCAGGTTCTGACAGGTTCTGGAGAACAAAACTCAGGCCCTTCACCTTCCTTGCAAAAACATTTGGCTCCCATGTGTGAGTATTTCATCAGAATTCTTTGAAAGTTAATTTCTAAAACAAATGTCATCCAAGTGACTGAAAACTTTTTTTTTTAATGTTTTTAAAAAGGGGAGATGATTTTCCTACATGGCACCGGAAAAAATTGGAAGCTGGAGATAATTGCCGGGGACAATGCCAGAAAAGGCATCTGAGGGGTCAGAGAGTCCTGCCTTTCCTAACAGCCCTTAGTAATGGTGTATTAAGCAAAGCGAGGCACGCTGTCCGCAGCCCAAAACCAGCATGCCTCCTTCGCAGTTTGGCTAATCCTCTAATCTCTCGGATAATCTGTCCAAAAAATATACCTAAACCCCCCCCAAACCCCTATAAAATTGGAGTGTGTCTCTGAATATAATACGGGGAGGGTGGAGGGTGGGGGGGGGGGGCTAATCAGGCATGGTGGTTTGGAGAAAGATTCCTCCCCCCCCTTCCGTTCCATTAATCACCTACCGTTGCCGTTTTATTAATTTTAAGAGGTGCTTGGTTTAATCTTGTAAAGTTAATGGGAAGGAGGAAGATTAGGGAAACCACGTGGGCTCTAGAGAAGCTTGGATCGGCCTCTGGGGCTTTTTCCCAACGAGTCAGACAATCCTAGCTTGGCAGAATCCATTGTTGGTAGAATTGCAAAGTAGAAAGATTTTCTACTTGGTATTCCTAGCCGGACACTGTGTGGTTGGATAATAGGACCAATAACGCTTGGAAGTTTCTAGTCCTCAAGGTTCTGCCTGAGCAGGGGGTTGGACTAGAAGACCTCCAAAGTCCCTTCCAACTCTGTTATTCGATTCGATTCTACTCTACTCTACTCTACTCTATTCTACTCTTTCTATTCTATTCTATTCTACTCACTCTACTCTACTCTTTCTATTCTATTTTATTCTACTCTACTCTACTCTACTCTACTCTATCTACTCTACTCTACTCTACTCTACTCTACTCTATCTACTCTACTCTTTCTATTCTATTCTATTCTATTCTATTCTATTCTATTCTATTCTATTCTATTCTATTCTATTCTATTCTATTCTATTCTATTCTATTCTATTCTACTCTACTCTTCTCTACTCTACTCTACTCTACTCTACTACTACTCTACTTACTCTACTCTACTCTACTCTTTCTATTCTATTCTACTCTACTCTATCTACTCTTTATATCTATTTATTCTCTCTCTACTCTATCTACTCTACTCTTTCTATTCTATTCTATTCTACTCTACTCTTTCTATTCTATTCTGTTCTACTCTACTCTACTCTATCTACTCTACTCTACTCTACTCTACTCTACTCTACTCCTATTCTATTCTATTCTATTCTATTCTATTCTATTCTATTCTATTCTTCCATCTCGAATACACCCAGGGCGTCTCATTTCAAATGTCCTGGTCTTCTTTTAAAGAGGAAACAATTCATCAATCTTTTTAATCTAATCTTCTTAATTTTAATCATTTTGTACTATCATTTTTGTTTTGTTTTTACCGTTTTATCATTTTGTAAGCCGGCCAGAGTCGCTGCAACTGTGAGGTGGGTGGCATACTAATGTAATAAGTAAATAAAATAAATGGTTTTTACTTTCTGGACGTAACACAGATATTTCTGTGCACGTCTGGTGTCTTAAAAATCCTCAGCTTTGGGGCAGGATACTATGCAATTCAGACAGTTGCAAGGTTGGTCACTAATACAAGCAGTCCTTGATTTACAACCACAATTGGAACCAGATTTTCCGTTGCTAAGCAAGGCAGTTGTTAAATGAGCTACACCTGAGTTTGACACCCTTTTTTTGCCACAGTTGTTAAGCGAACCAGTGCAGTTGTTAAGTGAATCATTTGGTTGTTAAGTAAATCCAGCTTCCCACGCTGACTTTGCTCGTCTGAAGCCAGTTGGGAAGGTTCACAAATAGCGAAGATATCATCCTGGGACAAAATAACCATCATAAATACATGCTGGTTATCAAGGGCCCAAATTATGATTACTTGATCGTGAGGATGCTGCAATGGTTTTAAGTACAAGGACTAGAAGTTATTTTCTTACTTGGTGTAGTTGTAAATGAGTTATTTATAAAGTAATAAAGGCAGGATAAAAATCTACATACATACATACATAAATCATGGCTAGTTTTTCATGCCTCTGCTGGGAAAAATGAATCAATATTGGATTTTTAGATTTGGACATATAATTAGGTATTTCTGTTGCTAAGCGAGACATTTGTTAAGAGAGTTTTGCTCCACGTTATGACCTTTCTCGCCACCATTGTTAAGTGGATCACTACAGCTGTTAAGTTAGTCACACAGTTGTTAAGCAAATCTGGTTTCCATATTGACTTTGCTTGTCAGAAGGTCGCAAAACAGCAGACTGCTGTGACACTGATATAGTTGCCAAGCATCTGAATTTTGATCATGTGACCATGGCAATGCTGTGACAATCATAAGCAGGGGTGGGATTCAGCCGGTTCGGATTGGTTTAACATCTAGTTCGCCGAACTGGTAGTTGCAAGGACTGGCTGGCCCCTCCCACCCCACCCTATCCCTCCCAGAAGTCTCCACACAGCCCGTTTTGGATGCCAGGTAAGTGCAGCGCCCGCACGGAGGCTCTGCAAGGGACAAAAACGGGCCTCCCGGAAGTTCCAGAAGTCTGGAAATGGTCTTGTTTCCGGCCTCCGGAGCCCGGGGGAGGCCGTTTTCGCCCTCCCGCAGGCTCAAGGAAAGCCACTGGAGTTTGGGGAGGGCGAAAACTCCCCCCCCCACCCAATGGTGCAGGAGGTCGAGTAGGCCACACCCACCATGGCCACGCCCACCCAGCAGCTGGCCAGAGAACCGGTTGCTAAAATTTTTCAATCCCACCTCTGGTCATAAGTGTGAAAAATTATTATTATTATTATTATTATTATTATTATTATTATTATTATTATTATTATTATTATTATTTTATTTCTATACCGCCCTTCTCCCGAAGGACTCAGGGCAGTGTACAGCCAATTTAAAAACACAAGACACAACAATGATTAAAAATTAAAATAATTAAATAGATTTGGCCGGATTAAAACCCCAAAAATTTAAAATACCCCAATTTAAAATTATTATGTTGATAGCCCGGCCTGGCGGAACAACAAAATGGTCATAAGTCAGCTTTTTCAGTGGCATTGTAACGTCGAACGGTTACTAAACAAACTGTTGTAAATCAAGGACTACCTGTATTTTGAATGTCACACACTTTGGCTGGACTCTGGTTTTCAAGATCCGAGAACTCCTTTTAAACCGTCTCTTTTCCCCCCCGTTGCAGATTCCACCAAGGGGATTACACCGTGGAGGTCAGCATCAACGATTACCTGGACATATACTGCCCGCATTATGAGATCCCGTTTCCCATGGACCAGATGGAGCGATACATTTTGTACATGGTCAACTACGAGGGACACAGCTCCTGCGACCATCGGCAGAATGGCTTCAAACGCTGGGAATGTAATCGGCCGGATTCACCCAACGGGCCCCTCAAGTTCTCCGAGAAGTTCCAGCTTTTTACCCCTTTCTCCTTAGGATTCGAATTCAGACCAGGGCACGAGTATTACTACATTTGTAAGTACTGAAAGCTGCCCTACGCGCTTCCCGTAGGAACCGAGCAAGATGGAGTTCTCTGGGGTGAGGTGAGGGTTGGAAGTGGGGAAACTTCATGTCCCGTACACAAAGTGAGAATTTTAGCCTATCAGGCTACCCTTAGATCAGGCGTCTCCAACCTTGGCAGTTTTAAGCCATGGCGGACTTCAACTCCCAGAATTCCCCAGCCAGCTTTGCTTGGCAGCTTTAAGCCATGGCGGACTTCAACTCCCAGAATTCATGGGGAATTCTGGGAGTTGAAGTCCTCCAGGCTTAAAGTTGCCAAGGTTGGAGACCCCTGCCCTAGATAACAAACTGGATTCAGGTAGTCCTCAACTTACGACCTTCCAAGTTACAATGGCACTGAAAAAAGTGACTTATGGCGGATCCTCACACTTACAACCATTGCAGTATCCCCACAGTTATTGCAACCAAAAATTTGGGGGGTGGGGGTTGGCAATCGGCACGTATTTATGATCGTTGCCGTGTCCCCAGAGGTTACAGGATTGCCATTTGTGACCTTCCCCAGCTGGCTTCCGACATGCCAAGATAATGGGCGGGTAAGGGGGGCAGATTTGCTTAACAACCACATGATTCACTTAACAACCTCAGTGATTCGATTAACAACTGTGGCCAAAAAAAAAAAAAGATTGTAAAATCGGGTGCGACTCACTTAACAACTGCCTTGCTCAGCAGTGGAAATTCTGGTTCCGATTGTAGTCGTAAGTTGAGGACTTTCTGTCAATGCTGGCTGAGGTGAGCTTTCTCAGAAGTTCAGTTCAGTTCAGAGCTGGGCTGTTTGATTGAAAGGTTACGAAAAGGGGTGTTGTGGGACACAGAAGAAAGACCTGGAAATGTAAGCAGCTTGCTTATATTCTTAGATTTATTGTGGTATGTAAAGCTAAGAAGGGACCAGTCTGAAACAAAACAGCCCCGATTCAGCCCCACTGTACCCCAAGATTGTGCTGCTGAAATTTGGCAATAAAATGGCTCATGAACATAGAACATTGAATAACAGAGTTGGAAGCGAGCTTGGAGGTCTCCTAATCCCAACTCCCTGCTCAAGCAGGAGACCCCATACCCGTGATGGAGAACCTATAGTATGTGTGCCCAAAGTGGCACACGGATGTCAGGTTTCGAGGTGGTCTCAAATAAATTGCATTTCAAACAAACTCCAATTTATTAAGCACGACATTCTAATTCTGACTCCATCGCAGCCAACACTGACTTCCAGACCCAAAACCCTCCCTTTCTGTTCCCCACTCCCCTGCACTCATTGGCCATCTTCCAAGTCTCTCTACCCCTAATCTACTGCTCCAGCTCAAAGGAATTTCCCCCCTCCCCTCCCATCTCCTAGGGGATATTATCTCCAGGGAAAATAAGTAGGTGAAAAGTCAAACGTCCCTTTCCAGACGCCTCCGCTTCTCTTTTATGTCAGCACTAGAGTAAATGCAGCTTGAAGTGCTGACAATGGAGCCATATTGCCTGGCATGTGCAGCGTCACCCGTTTCTCTTCCGGGTTTCTGGCACGCATGGAGCGCAGTGATCAGCTGGCAGTGCCGGAAACTAGCTGGTCTTCCGTTTTCCTGCGTGAGCATGCACGCCGGCTAGCTGATCGTCGTGTGCGCTTGCACGCCAGAAACCCGGAAGAGTAGCTGGCTGAAACCGGACGTTCAGTAGCTGAAACCGGAAGTTCGTTTTTGGAGGGGGGGCACATGCGCCCTGGGCAGGTCCTCTTCCGGTTGCAGCCCAGGTGCGTGCGCGCTCTCTTTTTGGCACAGTGCCAAAAAGGTTCGCCATCACTGCCCTCTACCATTTCAGACAAATGCCTGACCAGTCTCTTCTTTAAAAACCTCCACTCCTGGAGTGCCCACAACTTCTGAAGGCACTGGTTGATTGTGGGTGGAGCAGTGGTTAGAGTGCAGTACTGCAGGTTACTTCTGCTGAGTGCCGGCTGCCAGCAGTTTGGCAGTTCGACTCTCACCGGCTCAAGGTTGTCTCAGCTTCCCATCCTTCCAGATTGTTGGGGGCAAGAGGCTGACTCTGTAAACTTACATAGGGCTGTAAAGCCCTATGAAGCAGTATATAAGTCTAAGTGCTGTTTGCTAATTTTCACCATTAGGAAATTTCTCCTTAGTTCTAGGTTGCTTCACTCCTTGGTTAGTTTCCATCCATTGCTTCTTGTCTTGCTTTCTGGTCCTTTGAAAAGTAGGTTGACCCGTTCTTCTTTGTGGCAGCCCCTCAAATACTGGAAGACTGCTATCATATCACCCAGGGGTGGGTTCTAATTTTTTTTACTACCGGTTCTGTGGGCGTGGCTTATTTTGTGGGTGTGGTTTGGGGGTCATGTGACTAGGTGGGCGTGGCTAGCTGGTCAGTCATTTCTGGAAGGTCCTCGCACTTACAACCAGTCCTCGCACTTACGACCCAACTCATTTGTTTGCTTTTAACACTGATCAGCCGTAGGATGGCCCTTTGAAGCCCCGCGGCAAGACTTTAAACAGTTTTTTTCCCTCTAGTCATCAGCTGGGACTCAGGAGGTAGCAATAGATTGGGGGTGGGACCAAATAAAAGGTAAGAATAATGTGGGGGGGTCGGGGGGTCGGGCGGGGGAGAACCGGTTCAGTGACATCATATCGTCACCACTACCGGCTCGGCCGAACCGGACCGAACCGGGAGGAACCCACCACTGATATCACCCTAGTCCTTCTTTTCATTAAACTAAACATACCCAGTTCCTGCAACCGTTCTTCATATGTTTTAATCTCCACCTCCCCTAATCATCTTCGTTGCCCTTCCCTGCACTCTTTCTAGAGTCTCCACATCTTTTTTCATATTGTGACAAACAAAAAAACCTGTGCAGTCTTACCAAGGCATTATAAAATGGTACAAATACTTCACGTGATCTTCATTTCTATCCCTCTATTAATGTAGCCTAGGACTGCCTTGGCTTTTTTTGGGGCGGGGGGGGAGCATGTTGGCAACAACAGTTTTGGCAATGCAATGCTGCCTTTCTCGGGGTGTCAGTGGAGAGGTTTTAAGAATAAAAATGGGTTCGTTTCGGGGGTGGGTTCTAAAAATTTTTACTACCGGTTTTGTGGGTGTGGCTTATTTTGTGGGTGTGGCTTGATGGTCATGTGACAATTTTTTTAGGATTTAGCAGAGGTACTGGTCTACCAGGCTTTTAACTGCTTGCAGAGCTGTACTGGTCTACCCATTTATTTTTGCAGGCACTGGTCTACCCATTTATTTTTGTAGGCATCAGTCTACTCATTTGTTTTTGGAGGCACCAGTCTACCACCAAACTGCCTTTTACCACTGATCAGCTGTAGGGCGGCCCTTTGAAGCCCCACAGCAAGAATTTAAACAGTTTTTCCTTATAGCCCATCAGCTGGGACTCAGGAGGCAGCAATAGATTGGGGGTGGGGCCAAATAAAAGGTAAGAATAACGCGGAAGGGCAGGGGGGCAGAACCGGTTCAGTGATGTCATATCGTCACCGCTACCGGCACTGCCGAACCGGGCTGAACCGGCAGGAACCCACCACTGGTTCGTTTGCTTCTGAAAAATCCTCCCACATCCCTGAGACCCAAAATAAAAGGTAAAAGGCTCCCCTCGCACATATGTGCTAGTCGTTCCCGACTCTAGGGGGCGGTGCTCATCTCTGTTTCAAAGCCGAGGAGCCAGCTCTGTCCGAAGACGTCTCCGTGGTCATGTGGCCGGCATGACTCAACACCAAAGGCGCACAGAACGCTGTTACCTTCCCACCAAAGGTGGTCCCCATTTTTCTACTTACATTTTTTTAACCTGCTTTCGAACTGCTAGGTTGGCAGAAGCTGGGACAAGTCACGGGAGCTCACCCCGTTACGCGGCACTAGGGATTCAAACCGCCGAACTGCCAACCTTTCCGATCGACAAGCTCAGCGTCTGAGCCGCCGCGCCCTACGAGACCTAAAATACTCCCTCCAAATCTGACTTTACCCCTTTTGCAAGGATATCCGAACATCCGTACATTGTCTCCCGTCACCCTTCAGAGGACTGAGTGGAAGATGCAATCAAGAGATTGTGTTGACAAACCCCACCAAGTTTCACCCAACCTCAATTTAGCTCAGAAGGATATTAGTGTTTCCCCGGCACTAACTGGAGATAATCATCTAGTCTTGAACTGGCAAAGAAGCTTTTGTAGGTGACTATGTGTGCTTAGGAAGGAAGGGGGCAGGGCTGTGTTTGCTATCTATGCCCTCCGTGCAGCCTCAACAAATTAAAACCCACATCTAACAAGAGAACACACATTTATCCATGCTTAACCACTCAATCACTGGGAGCTTTCCTCGAAAGAGTGTGTTTTTATTTATTTACTAGACCACCCGTGACCCCTTGGGTCATCCTTTCAGAGATATTTCCTTACCAAGACTCCTTAATGTTTTCAAGAAAGGCAGAGCTTCCGATATACTTGAAAACTTCTTAAAAACCCAGGGAGGCATTCAGAGACGGTGCTGCCTCGCAAAGCAGCCCATGTTAAACTGGGGAGCAGAGTCAAACCTCACAGCAGATGATCCCAGGAAATGTTCTATGACATGTTGGTTTTATGTCATAAACTGCTTTAGGGTCAGTGATGACATTTGTGTCATCAAATGTCTTATAAAATTGGCTAAAATTTCAATCCCACAGGAGTCATAGGCCTTGGCGTTTTGGAGGCATTTTGTAAGTTTTAGCTACTTGTTTGTTCGTTTGTTTATTTCCCTCATCTTTTATTTTTATAAAGAACTCGAGAAGGCGAACATACCGAACGTTCCTTCCTCTTCCTCTTTTCCCCACAATAACCCTGTGAGGTGGGATGGGCTGAGAGAGGACAGGGCCAAAGTCACTCAGCTGGCTTTCCAGACTAAAATGGGATTTGATCCCACAATCCAGTGGTGAAATCCAAATTTTTTTTTACTACCGGTTCTGTGGGCGTGGCTTGGTGGGCATGGCAGGGGAAGGA